GAACTGACAAATATCTCTTTCAGTAGCAATACAGCCAGCCTAAACTTATATAGAACTTAGGTTGTTGAATCATTTGAAAAACCTAATTTCGGAGTAGAATCTACTCGAAATTGAAAGATGAGATGTTATTGTGCTTCAAAAACTCACTTGCATACCGCGCAGGAAATCGTTCACGAAGCCTACGATATGAGGCGGTATACCATATGAGGTCATATACGCCCAACTCTTCAAACCTCGCAAATCTTCAAAATTTGGTAAGGGCATTCCAGCAGACTTCATTTCAGCAGCTATATATTGTGCCTAAAAAACGTCAAGATAGTTTTTTTTAGAGAAATACAGCCTCCCCATGCTTACATCAGTATAACTGTATAACTTACTGCCTCAGCATAGTGACGATGGCATATATTTTTCCTGCTTGCATTGCAACTGCTATAAAGAGCTTTTACAGGCAACTTCATGGAACATCCACATGCTATTAAGCCCGTTATGAAGATCGCGTTCTGAATTCTCGATGAAGAAGATATCCTGAATCCTTGAGCAGCAAATTGATCTCCACAGACGATACATTCAGTTTGTATCTTTTCAGCGTCTATCGCAGATTGCCTGAAAAATGTTTTTGCCATCGGAGCAGGGGTGCATTTTGTGTATTGTGCTTTCCGGATGGGTCAAAACTACCCAGAACAACCGCTTTAATTCAATTTATGTATGACAAACATGTATAAACGACTTCTGAAATAGTCGTACCTGCTGTCCGTAGTAGGTCCACCGCCATATGATGTGGTTTCGCTGAAAGAGCTCGAAGGAGCCTTATCCTTAGGCCCTGTATACGACGAGGTGTTGTTAGCAGAGTCCGTTGGCAATCTGACTGCAGATACCTCAGCATCCATCGGCCATAATGGAGTGGCATGATATCGGCGGAGAGCAGTACTCATGAAATGACATATATCCTTTGCCGTAGCGTTCTTATGAATATTGCTACCGCTAATCTGAAATTTCAATGACGTCGTATTTTCTGAGAAAGATTGAGGGATTGTGAAACGTACTTTTTTGGCAGTCATGAAGTTGTTCACAAATTCAACGATGTGAGGTGGTATATCGACCGCGCACACGTACGCTTTACTTCCAGCAGCATACGGATCTATGAAGTATTGAAATTGCTTTCCGACCGACTCCATCTCGGAGGCTATAAACTGCGCCTGCAATAATTGAAATTCAAGAGGAAGAAGATTATAATTGTTATGATTACCATT